ATGGTAAATTGTAGACAAAACTACTGACTTTTGATCAATCGGTATTGAATAGCCTTCCTGGCAATGCTGGTGTTACTGAAGAAGTTTAAAATATTCAATACACACTTACTATGATTGGACATGTCAATACAAAATTGAAAGAACCCCTCACAGGGATCAAAGATGTACATGTCATATATCAATGACATTTGCTGGCTAAGTTATTCATTCAGACATCATACAGCCTGAAACATTTAATATAGAAATGTTCAATTGCAGCAAGACAGATTGTGTCACACCAAAGGCTACACATTGCTTTACTTTTAATGTAAATTTTCCCTCAATAGTGGTTAGGAAGCTATAGAGCACAGATTAATTGTGCCAAAACACAATGTAAGCTGTCTAAATGGTAAACCTATTGAACTCCTTAGGGTAGCAAGTGCACATATAAATTAAAATTGGGCTATTAGTGATCGAGCTTTTAAAACTGTGGCTATGAAATAGTGCTCAAGGAATTATGTTCATGCAGGCCCTGGTTGTGCTGCACAACAGAACTGAAAAGTTGTAAATCAAACTGACTTCAAGTCATATTTAACTGTAGCAATCAGGACTTATCACTCCCAGCAACTCAAATACTTCTTCTGCCACATCTTAGTCCTGTTTTATTCCTACAATTACGACGCTTTTCCTGCATCAGTCCCAGTGAGACTCATTTTTTAAAACAAAAACAATGAATTGCTGCAGTGAAGCGACAGTTTTAAGAGTCTAGAGCCCAGATCTTAAGAGGAGCAGCAATCATTGATTATTCTGATAAATGTTCCTCCATCCAGGCACAGTCTTACATAAACATAATCAGAATAACGTTACAGCAGAGCCCTCTATATTTATCCAGATACACTGTCACATCATTCTGCACAATTACAGCAGGCAGTGAGGGGACATGAAACATGCCGAAGAGCTGAAGGAAGACAGCAATCTGCAAGGAGGAGGAGGGACAACATTAAGCTAGAAGATGCACTCCTTATGGATGACAGAGCTCAATTACATTAGGCCCTAAGGCAGGCAGGCTGTGATTGACAGCCAGTTCCAGTGGAGGTGAGCTGGGTGCAGATCACGATCATGGAATGTCAAAGTCAAAATGCTAGTGTTTGCTTTGGATTGTGGGTATGGAGTGCAGCTGGTCTTCATTTCCTGTGTTCCCTTTTGCTGGCTGCCAGTAAAAAAGCTCATGTTTGAACTTGTCCAATCACTTGTTTGCCAGTGATGTTCCCGTATTGGACAAATGACAAGATGGAGATGCACTGGAGAAAACAAGTCTTGAGAATTCAGACAGGGTTTTAGATGGGACGTACCCAAGGTCAGGCTAAGCATGTAGTACAGTGTTTAAACGGTGACTTGGTAGATGCGCGAGGGAGAGTTTCTATACTGACCACATGCTGTGGTCAGCTCAGCTTTTTGGCTGCTGTGGAGGAACAATGCTGAACTGGCAACACTTGTCTGGGTGCACAGTGATGAGGCAAGGGATGTTGGTCAACAGGTAAAGCAAGATGAGAAATCTCAGGGCATCACAGTGAGAATCTCTCAAATGAAACTCACTCTTAGCCAAAAAGAAAAAGTGAGATTCAGCCTGGAGAAAGAGAATGGAATTGTTCTCTTAGAGACAAGGTGTGAGAAGAGTTGTTGGGGGTCATGGTGGGAGTTGCATAGGCTTGTAAATTAAGATTAATATACAGAAATGGAAAAGAGAAGCTGAATAAGGGAAGAGTAATTTATCGGCCAAGGGAAGGCAAGGAAAAAAAAAGTGAAAATTGGAAAAAAGTTAAAGTCGTAATCCAGTGCCTGGTGAAAGCAGGAAGCAGCACAGGAACTGGCTGAAATGATGGGTTTATCAGAAGAGTCCTTTTGGAAGGAGGTAGAAGTGTGCTGTTGGAGTCTGGGGGCGACGAGGTGGGAAGCTGTGAAGGGAAGATCTCCAGCAGAGTTGAGGCCAGTGACTGTCCCAGAAACAATAGCGTAAGGTTTGATTTGGAGTTGCATTCCAGAGGAGGGTAAGGAGTGTCTGATAGATGGCAGAAGAATCTATCTTTTTTAAAAATATTACAATATTCCTGTCCAAGGAAGTTCCAAATGCTTTGGCATGACAGACAAGACAGGGCAAGGCAAAGCAAAGCAGGGAAACTGAGCAAGCAGGTAAAAAAAAGTGTAAAGTTAGTGAGTGACAAGAGAACAGCAGAGATACAGGCTGGTGCAATTTGACAGCTAAATGCCTATTCCTGCTTGCAGCGTCCCTGCTGCAGCCTTTCAATGTCCAGTGATGATGTACTGTTGCAATGGAAGTTTAGGTTTCAAAAGTGACCCACAAGTGGATCAGAGAGGTGAGATGGGCCATTTACAATGCATTTAGCTTGCATTAATCCCCCTTAAATTAGCAACTTGCCACTTATAGGTGACAAATTCGTATCACTGCTTGGTAGTGCCAAAGCACAAAAGATGAAGCGAGGTGCTCCCAACATCAAGATAGACCTAGTTGGACTGACTAATTCTGCCATAAATCTTACGGTGGCCCACATTGTTCAGACCCCTATAAGGTTCCAGCTTCCATCTCCATTGCATCACTCTGCAGATACAACCTTCCACAAAGGGCTTCAGCTATGTCTTACTTTGACCTCAAAAGATGGTTTAGGGTCCTATCAACCAGAGTGAAATCACGTCCAACCCATCTCCCATAATTCTGCTCTTATCCCTTCCCTTTCCTCCAGGATCAAAGATAGAGTTCCTCTTACCCTCACTTTCCACCTCACCACCCTCCAGGTTTAAACGCTCATCCTCTAGGGACCATTCCCTCTGACACCTTGGTACACCAACAACTAAAAAAAAACACAACCACATCCTGTAGGCAAGTGGCACTTGTCTATGCAACTATAGCAATGCCTGCCCTTTAATCTTCTCCTTCCTAATCATCCAAAGCCCCAAACACTCCTTCCAGGTGAAGCAGTGGTTTATCTGTATTTCATTCAAATCTAGTCTGTTGCGAGGAGCATTGAGCACACTAGTCTCCTCTACATTGGGAAGGCCAAGTGCAGACTGGGTAATCACTTTGCTGATTAAGCCCGCTCATTCCGCAAGCATTAGGCAGTGCTTCGTCTTGATTGCCATTTTAGTTTACCACCAGGTCATGCTGGGTCAGATGACTGCCCTGAGCCTGCTGCAGTGCTCCAGTGAAGCAAGGAAGCACAAGGAATGGCACCTTCATGTTCTGATTTGGTAGGTTCCAATCTTCTGGACACAATGAGTTCAACAATTTGAGGTGAGGAACTCTGTTCCCTGCTTTGATTTTGTCTTTTTGACATGTTCCAGTCAGAATCTTGCTTTCCGTCTTGTTTGCTTTCATGATTCTGCCAATCACCCTCACTCTAGACATATGTTTTGCTTCTTTACTATAATTATTACTGCTCCCTTTGCCTTTTCCATCTTTGTCATTTAAGGTCTCCTGCCGTCCACTTATCCAAGACCTTCTTGTTTGTTCTCCCACTCATCCTCTTTCAACCAGCATTGAAAGAATGTTTTCAGTTCTGAAGAAGATAGAGTTTTGCTGGACTTGAAACATGAACTCTATTTCTCTCACCACAGATGCTGCCAGGCTCACTGAGTATTTCCAGCACTATTTTTATTGCAGATTTCCTGCATTCGTGGTACTTTTCTTTACCTTCTCTTCAGACTCTTGCACCAAAACTTTCAGTAGGACTCAAGGGTTTATCCTTGGCCTTTATCCTTGGGGTGGGGAATAGGTGGAAGTGACCAATGCTTCATTTCGGAGAGACAACTGCAGTTGCAGGCTTTTAGTGTCAAGGTCATCAACACAATGACAGTCTGGAAGCGGTAAACACAATATATTTTAAAAAAAAAAATTCCTCAGGACAGTTCACTCTTACTCTTTAACCTACATCAGCAGCATCCATCACTGACAGTGAGACTGCCGATCATCTAGTCTTTGATCATGGACTATTACACCTCCAGAAACCACCTTTAATGCTTAAAATTTCACCACCTCCTCTGGCTCCCATTTGTGCATTCCTAACCTGTACTTGACAATGACACCACAGGACCCAGGAATGAAAAACCTGTCCTAAAAATGATCAAACTGCACAATATAAATTCAATTTACGAAAATCACAATCTTTTTTTGCCCAAATCCAAAAAAAAATTGTGAAATATGTAAAGATTTCAGTTTTTCGATTTGTGTTTTTGACGTTAGAAATGGATTCTAGATAGTGAGAAAAATATTGCACATGGAAAGTATTTTCAGAACATATTTTGTGGAGCACAGGATAACATAATCACAAAGTAATATAGTCCTTATTGAAAATCAATATTGTGTGGCATGGCTTGTGTGATGGAATAAATGAGACTTTGGATAACAAAAACACCTATTGCAGTACCACTGTTAAAGATATGGAGAGATGTAATTTTTTTAGAAAAAATCAGTTAACCACTTAATATGTTAATGCTAAAAGTTATGTATTTCAAGAACAATGCATATATAAAATCATGACCAGCCCCAACAAGCTGAACATATCAATTTTCAAAGTGCTCAGACAAGTAGCTTCTAGCTAAAATGCCAACAATTAGTTCTTGTCAGACTACTGTTTATACTTTTCTGACAACAATAATGTTTGGTAATAGCACTTTGTCATAATTTAAACAGTTGGCACTGAAATTATTCCGAGCCAGTAGACATTTAATTGTGTAATAATGTATGGGATTATCATCAATTGAAGCTCTCAAAACAAAAAAAAAGCAGATTGTACTTGGTGCAAGCTACTCTAACACTTGTGCATATCCCTAAGAGATTCTCAAGAGCGAAAAGCAGAATACTTCACACAACCATTTGCAAATGGAAACTATTTTCAGAAAGTATTTTGTTGAGCAGTTTGTGAAGCACAAGATAACAACCACAAGGTAATTATAACCCCTATTGAAAATCAATAATATTGTCGGGCACTCAATCACAAGCCGCGCATGAAACATCCACGAGGATTTTCAAAGAACTGCAGGGTGGAGAACAGAGCAGGCGCAGTCCCAGCAGACGTATTGGGATTTCGATGCCTCTGGGACAGTTTCGTGTTATGCAAGGTAAATGATTCTGAAAGACTTAAATGTTGGAAACTGCATTAAGCTACATCTAAGCTCATGATGGCCCACCCCCCGGGTGGGAATAAGGCAGAACACTTTAGGACTTGCATCCACAGGTCTCCTCATTGTTACTAAGGCACTGTTTATCTTACTAACGTAATTTTTAATCTGGTTGCTACCATTCAGTAAAATTACATCATGTTTAAGACAAGACCCTCTCCTTGTTAAGACTCAGTGGTTGTTCTTCTGCCATTGTAAACCAGAGACACAGAACCAGTCAAGGAAAGAGATGATTAGTGGCAGCATCCATCTAGTCAAAAACACAACAATGTAAATTCTCAAAATGCAGGCTTGAGAGAGAGAGTGCACACACAAGTGCGCGAGAGTGGGAGCGCACACGCAGGTGCCACCATTGACAGTTCCTTAACTTCTTTCAGGAAGTGGTCAAAGTTTGAGTTTGAATTTTTCATTTTCTTTCCTGATGAGTCCAAACAATTTATGGGGTTGCTGTGGGGACCTGGACATTTTCTTTCCAGTTGCTTTAGGTTGAAATAGCTCCCTAGCTTTCCAAGGAGCTTCCTGTTCAGGTCAGCTGCAGCCTCTAAACATGGCTGCTGGCTGCTATTACTACTTTTTTTCTTTATGCATTCATGGGAGAAGGCCTCACTGGCCAGGCAGCATTTATTCTCTACTGCCATCAGTCACTCTGCTTCTAACTGCTGGCTTGGCACCTTTTAATTGAGCATTGAGCTCACCTTCTAGAAAACTACACCATTTAAGTTTTAAAACATGTTGCATTGGCAATGCAGGTTGAGCACAAGGTCAGGACTCCATTCATATGGCCATCTGGTTCTTGATGCTGAAACGAAGAGTCAGACCAATATCTCTCACAAATTACAGAATGAATATATTCTCCTTCTCTACATGATGTTTTGATTGCACTATAAAAGAGTAACATGGACTGATTACATAACAAGTAGAATCACTTTACGATAAACTACAAAACAATTTTCAAAATTATTTTCAATTCTGCAAAATTTTAAAACAGGATGAAATCTATCAACTTTCTCATAAGATAACCAATTTTTAAACTCTCTTTCAATAGTGCAGCAGCATACTAACCTATTTGTAAAATATTAACTTGTTTGGGTGTTTTGAAAGTGCTTACATATTTTTAAAAAAAAACAAGTAATAGCCAGTTAGAATCTTTTTAGTATACTGACTATAAAGTGATTATTGCTTGTTTTTTTACATTTTTGTCATATACATGCAACACAGGTATGAGGAGTTGGTGATGGGTATTCCCCGTTCCAGACTTGAGGAAAGATACACTGGATTTGCAATACCAATAGATTTGTTAATACATAATAATGACCTGGACCTTTAGTACACAGGGCATCATTTTAAATTTTGCCAATTATGTGGAACTTGGAAGTATAACAAACACTAAAGATGGATGGTAATAGATTTCAGTTAATTATAAAGCAGACTGGTGAAATAGGCAAAAAAGTTTAACAAACGATATGTGAAATGATGCAGTTTGGAAGAAAGAATGAGGAGATGCAAAATTAACTAGATGGTACAATTTTAAAAGGGGATGCAACTGAGTCCACAAATTGATGGTGGTACAATAAATTGAGAAACGTGTTGAGACTGTTCAAAAATCATATGAGATCACCAGCTTTTGAAAATAGAAGCACAGCATGAAAAAAAAAGCAATGAAGCTTGGCTAAACATTTAAAAAAACATTAGTATAAAACTAGATGTCGGCTGGAGTACAGAATTCAATTCTGAGCATCAAAATATTAAGAAAGTCACTAAAGCCTTCAAGAAGTTGTAGAGGACATTTACCCAAATGGTATCAATGATGGGGGACTTTAGTTATTTGGGAAGAATGGTGAGGCTAGGTTGCTCTCCTTACAGCAGAGAGCCTTAAAAGGTGATTTGATGGCAGTATTCAAAACCATGATAGATTTCTTAGTTCTAATGAGGAAAAACTGGATGCAGTGTCATTGATTGTACAACTTACATAGCTTTAATATCTGTAAAAGAAAAAAAGTGATCACCCCATTCATGAAAACTATTTCCTGTTTATTAGTTCGCTGAGAACTTAATGAATGGACCATAAAGCAACTGAAGAGGTAATTGAAATTGCAAGAGCGAAAGGAACTCCAAATTAAAGTAATGGCTTTTTCAGGCCAAAGTGGAGGGCAGCTGAGAAACAGCTCAACCCAGGAGTTGGATGATGGATTTTAGAGTGGTTGAAGAAAAACTACATTGAATGACTGGCATACAGCTCAGCTCCCAGCAGGAATGGCTACAAGTAGCAGCAACTGCAGTAGTATGTAAAAACTGAAAGAACTGCAGATGCTGTAAATCAATAACAAAAACAAAGTTGCTGGAAAAGCTCAATAGGTCTGGCAGCATCTGTGAAGAAAGAAAAAACAAGTTACCCTTTCGGGTCCAGTGACCCTTCCTCAGAACTATGTAATACTGCTAGTCATATCCTGTGCCTTTCAGCCTTACTCATTACTTGGCAGGACTCATTATCATAGGATAAGACAGCAGTAAGGGCTTGCTGAAACTGGTCCAATAGGTTTTATTTCACCTAAACATGCTTTGTGCTTTAACCACAGAGCAAGAATGAAACAGCATGTGGAATTCCATTGATGGTCTTCACTTTCTTGCAACCAGAATAGAAAACATGCCAAAAAAAAACAACCACACACAAACACTCAAACCTAAAATATTATATTGAGGACTGCTGTCAGTACAATATCTCACTGAAGGGATTTCTCTAGCAACTATGTCAGAATCCCCTGTAGAGTCAGTCCCAAAAGGAATTTGTTATTTTCCCCGATGTTGGTCAAGCTCCTATACATCTCCAGCAATTTCAGCATCTGATGTTTTTACCTTATTGAATGCTATTCAGATCATATGCTGCTCTTAGACTTTGAGCCGTAGCCATTTGGTCAAAATACAGACAGTGTGTTTAGTGGGTATGCTGCTGGTGTGATATTGTCCAGCATGGTGACAAGGCAACATATCAACCTTCCTTGACTGATCACTGCAGTCATCCCCGACAAGGTGCCTGGCTTTGTGCCTGCACTACTAGCAAAACAGGACATAAATACTTTAAGTTCAGGCTGCTGGGACGAAAGGACAAAAAGTTGAAGTAAGGCAGAGATTCTGTGATCATCAAAGTAGGCACAAACAAAAAAAAAGCTAGCAAGGAAACCTGTGATGCACCCTAGTTGAATCGAGTTCGATGCCTGTTTCTACATGCAAAAAGTGTGCTGTGGCTGCAACTTTACAATGCTATGCCCCTGTTCACTCTAAAGTGCAGTATTAGTTTAGGTCCCTGGATTTCAAGTACAATTACATTACCATTGTATCCCCTCCCAGATTTTCTCATTCAATCTCATACACAATTGCAGATTATTTTTCCTTTCCACAGACCAGCCTCTCCTAGGTGGAAATTGCTTATATTTGTGCCCTAAAAACATTCCCCACTTAGTTTCAACTCATCTTAATCACAACTCAAGCTTGTATGTATGCACACTCAATTGATGTAGCATTTGCAACATTAGCTTAGAAACTACACGTTACACTGAAGCATAATGGACTTTCTTTCTAAATCCATTATCATCACACTTGATCATCTGTCTTTCTGATTCTGCTTTGGTCTGGTCATCTTCAGACTAATGCCTATATTCCACTAATATTTATATGGGCAGCACTGGCTCAGTCAGGCATAGACTGCTGAGATGGTAGTCCTGATAATTAAACCTTATAAAAACAGAAATATGCTAACAATGTGTCCATGATTAAATGATGGGACTGTGATCATTTCCTTTGGCCATTATAGGATTGTCATCAGGAACAAAAGTGATTAATTATACCTTGGAACCAAATGATAGTTTGTGTGGATGGCTACCTCATGTTATTGCCAGAAGCCACCAAGTATTAGTCTGTCAACTCCATATTTTATAGAACATAGCTCATCTATTTTTCTACTGTAGTGATTCCATTTACAAACCTTTTGGTCAAGGGCGGGACACTGGTCTATTTTCATACTGATTTGTGCAGAATTGTGTAATGTATCTCTGGATATATCTGGGCCGGTGAGGCAGCAATAACTGGCGGCGAGAGCAGGCCTTTCGCACGGTGGTGGCAGCCTCCTGGATGTCCTAGCGATTGGAGCAGCACCTGCACCATTGGAGATGGGACTTGGGACTCAGATCTGGACTTTTTTTTTTCTGGCTTACCTTTTGGCTCTGTTAAGATCTTTTAATTCTGGTTTTTGTCACCAAGCAGGTGCCAGTGCACATTTCGCTGTACTTATGTATTCCTATACTTAGCATATGTGACAAACTAATAATCTAAAATCTAAAGGTTGTTTCAGTCTTATTTTTTATATCTCTCACTGTATAATGATCCCACCTATACTTAGGATTGGATGAACATGTGTCTGGTAAGTTATAACTGATTTTTTGTTTTCAATGTTGAAACCCAAGAACCTGTTTGTTTTGCATGTAACTTGCTGAATGTGGAATCCCTAAAATGTTTTAATATGAACTCCCATGTATGATTGTGTGTCTCTACCTGTGGAAAAAGATGTTTACAGAATTTAAAGCAATCAATTGCTAGATTGTTTTGTTTGTGATATTCCTGTGAATTAATATGATCTGGAATTTTTCCAGACATTAATTTGCAGATAAACTGAAGTTTATCAAATTTTAAAATTTGGTGACAAGCTCATTTATGTCTATGAAGAAGAATAAAGTTTCCAGCTTGGCTCCCTTGAGAGGATAATTGGTCATCGTACATGAGTTTGTCTTTTGTTGGTAAGGAAGTTTTGCATGGCATCTTCCCATGATATCGGCAGCAGTAGAATTTGGGCAAGAGCTTTTCGCAAAGAATGTTGAAGGTTTGAGAAATCCAGTATCGCCACATGAGGCAGTTTAATTGTTTTGAGATGTGAACCAAGGTCATCAACAGCTGGTGAGAAATACCAGTCTGTCATTTTCCAGCTGAGTTTTATCTCCATTTGTGACTATGTCACAGATGTTCCCTTCTCTCTCTCTCCCCTGCTGTGGAACATAGCCAGTGTTTATTGACTGTTAAGAGATTAGTCCATGTTGAAACTAATTCTTCGGCCACTATATTTAAAATCCATAGAGGCATTTATCTTTATCTGATAATATCCCAAGTGGAACATTTATGTAAACTATTGACAGCAGCAGTAAGTATTGTCCTCAGCCTTAAACTTTGAACCACCTACCACTTGTCATTTTGGAAATAAATTACAAAGAAACAAAACTATTTCTGGAAAATGATTGTATTGCAAAAATGAAACGCAACTAGAGGCAGGATTTCTGCTCTCTTTATTATGTGCCAAAATGACATCTGAATTATGAGTCCCTCAAGTTTATAATAATCAAACTTCGTGGGACTGGGATAGGAGTTTGCACCAAGCACTGTCTTCAGGCAAAGTGGAGTTGATGTTCGGGGAGGAACATGGGGAAATTTGAAACAAACTATGCAAATGTGTTGGGGAACATTAATAATATACCAAAACTGGAAAAGTGCAGTGCAGACAATCACATTCCAGGCTCAAACAAAACACTTCAGAAACAAAGGAAAGCAATCTTAAAATACTGTACCCTTAAACTGCAAGTAAGTTCCAATCTAGAAAGATTCTTGACCAAATAAAGAAATACAATTTGATTTCCACAGCTGCTCCTGGGTGATATGAGATACTATGCCTGCACATTATTCAACATGCCATGAGGAATATCATGGGATAGAAAATCAGTATGTTTTATAAAGTAACTAATATACTCAGGAAAGATAGCACTGCCTAACAACTGTTTTAGCTTTACTCCGATTGGCTTATTCACCAGAATCTCATGAGCCTTATAATCCCATTGGAGATTTATCCTATGCATTTTTTTTTAAAAAAACTGATTGCATCAAAATTACATACAACTTATCAATATGATGATCAGAAGGCTAATTAAAGCACCTGAGATGACAAGAGCTGGATGAACACAGCAGGCCACCAGCAGGAAAGCTGACATTTCGGGCCTAGGCCCTTCTTCAGAAATGGAGGGTCTTCATTTCTGAAGAAGGGTCTAGGCCCGAAACGTCAGCTTTCCTGCTCCTCTGATGCTGCTTGGCCTGCTGTGTTCATCCAGCTCTTGTTATCTCCTCCAGCATCTGC